GCAATGAAAGGGAATCTAGGAAGTTAGTATAAATTTCTGAGGAAAGATGAGAGGTAGTGATTTGAATTTAACTATAAATTACTCATTTTCAGTTATAATGACACCCACAGTGTATGATACTGATAAAATAATCATTTTTAAAATATGTAATGTATAATGCAAACCATTTCAAAAGCCCATCATCTGTTGATCCATTAGGCGTGTAAAGTATAATAATTCTGTCATATTGATATGAAATATCACATGTCAAAACCTCTTGACTTGTTATTTCAAAGAGATTTTGAGGGAAGGATTTATTACCTTTATCTCTTCCAATGTCACATCTGCTCTGGTTGTGTCTCCATTTAAATAACATTCAAGAAATGGTGTGATACTATGGTAAGCCAATAGGCAAGCCTAAGGCTAGTAGAAAACGTAAAAGAACATGCTTAGCCATTCTTGAAATGTCACCAGTCTTAATTGCAAGGTCTGAAACTGCCTTCAGATATACAAGAACATCTTTCAAGTCTATGTAAAGGTCTTTGTTAAATAATGAAATGCAGCTTAACATTTTCATGGTCACAAAAAATTAATTTAAAAATTAATAAAATATTTTAACCTTTACATTTGTTGCTTTCCACTGTAATTTCCCAAATAAGATGTTAAGAATTAAGTTGAGGTGATAACCATTAAAAGATTTTATAGGAATTTTTTGTCAGAATGTCATCAGTTATTTTAAATACAAGTTCAAATTGGTGATGAAGTAGATGTTAAAATACTAAAAAAAAAATTGAAACAAGATGGCAAAACAACTTAATATAATGATAACTATGGCTGTTTTGACCATAGAATTTAGAAATTTTAGGTAATTTACTTAATTCAGCAGTTATCTGCTAGGAAAGAACAAACATCTTTTGTTCATTTGGTTTTTTGTTTGCTTTTGGAGACGGTTTCACCAGGTAGCCCCAGCTGTCCCGGAACTCACTTTGTAGACCAGGCTGGCCTTGAACAGAGATTCGCCTGCTTCTGCCTCTGCTGTGATTAAAGGCATCCATCATCACGCGCAGCCAGCAGACAGCATTTTGAAATTTTTGCCTCATGGCATCCAGGACCAGATTGATCTATGTTTCTAGGTAAAGTAAATTGAAAGTTGAAAGCTACTTGAGGAAGAAAAAAGATTTCAGAGTGGCATCCTGTGGGAGGTCTTGGCTGAGGTCCACAGCCTGGCCATCCTTCAAGGGCAGCTCAGGGACAGCACAAACAGATCCAAGAAACCTGATTGGAGTGAAGCTGGTAGGTACTGACTCAGAACCCAAGCCCAGATAATGCTGGTTCAAGGGAAATTTCCAGTCTCCTATCATGGGTGTTAGTTAAGGCCAGTCTATGTTATTAACATTGAAATGTATAGATTTTTTTTTTCAAATTAATTATGAATTGGTGCTTGAGAGATAGCTCCACGGTTAAGAGCACTGGCTGCTCTTCCAGAAGACCCCAGTTAAATTCCTAGCACCTACATGGCAACTAACAACTGTGCATAACTCCAACTGCAGTCCCAGGGGATCAGATGCCCTCTTCTGGCCTCTGTAGTCTTGGTGCTCACATGGGCACATTCATGCAAGCAAAACATTCATACACGTAGAGAATAAAAATACATAAATCAGGCCGGGTGTGGTGGCACACGCCTTTAATTCCCAGCACTTGGGAGGCAGAGGCAGGCAGATCTCTGTGAGTTCAAGGCCAGTGAGGCCCTGTCTCAAAAAGACCAAAAAAAAACATAAATCAAAATGTTTAAAAAATTATTTGACTCTTGCTAAAGACATTTTCCTATTGCAAAGGTTCCTTCTGTTTCTGAATCAGATACACATGACAAACCATATAGCTCTAAGTGTTGTATGCAACTCCACTAATGTGTGTTTAGAACTGGTATGAGCACTATAGTGTCATGTCAAGTGAAACATGTATAGGCTGATTTATGTGGTCTAACTGATGAGGTATTACTCTGATAGACATAAGACCAGAAGACATACCATATCTGACATTACAAAGAAGGAAGTAACAAACACATGGAAAGGTAAGCTACAGGAGTAATCAAAAATCAAACCAGTGTCACGACTTCTCAGTGACAATAGTAGTAGCATCTACTATGCTAGGAACTTGAAAAATGTAGGGAAGTTTGGTTTTTTTTTTTTAATCATAATTCCTCCAACTATAATTTCTTATAGATACTATTTTGGTTTGTTTTTCCTTTTTTTTTTTCTATTCATCTTGCTTTCCACTAGCACTCTGTACCTACTATAGATTATATGTTTATCAAAGATTGGATTCTAAATGTAGATTTTACTTGGGTTTGATGGGACATGTAAAGTTTGTGTCCAGTGAAACTAATAATCTAATGAGAAAAACTAAATAGAAGCCATAAAGAAATTAAATCTTTGAAAACTGCAAAGGTGAAAAAAGTCCTTGAGAATAAAATATAACACCTATTATATACCATTGTACTAAGATAGAACAGCACCTATTATATAAAATTGTATTATTTGCTGGCTCACACTGTGATCCCAGCATTCTGGAAGTGGAGACAGAAGAAATCAGGAGTTTAAGGTTGGCCTTGGCTACATAGTGAATGGAACCCTCACTGTAGAAATTGTAACAATTTGCTGGGCATGGTGGCAAATCCCAGCACTTGGGAGGCAGAGGCCCATGGGTCTCTCTGAGTTCAAGGCCAGCCTGATCTACATAGCAAGTTCCAGGCCAGCTGGGGCTACAGGGAGACCCTGTCTCAAAAAGACCCCCTTCCAAAATCATAACAATTAGCAAAAATAAAATCATATATTCTCTGATTCATTTAATTAAATATCAAAGTAAATATTGGCCTCCAAAACAGGTATCCCTGTTGGTACTATAAACAGCTGTATTCTAATACTGTATATACTAATATTGGGGACTATAAGTAGAATTTTAAAGCATATTTGCAAGCTTTTTGTGTGTCATATATCTGAAACTGCATCAGTGGCATTTTATAATATTACTGTCTTCAGATATTGCCATGTCTTCTCAAAAAAAAAAGAGATTATGATCTTAATGTGGTGCCAAGTGTCTTATGGGTGTGAATGCCTCTGGAATTAGATGCTTCATATAAAGAGAAAAGAACCTAATTAGAGGAAGCTTGATATAGTTAAGTGTATAATCCTAATATTTTTGAATAGCGAATGAAATACTTATTACTGTAATTTATTTGGTCATTCATCCCCCTCCATCAGACGACTCAGTTTTCTTTTATAGTCTTGAATGGATTTTTTTCATTAAAGGTCCCAAGTGTAAAACATTTCACTTATGAAAATATGTCAGCCTGGGGGCTGGAGAGATGGCTCAGCAGTTAAGAGCACTGGCTACTCTTGCAGAGAAGCCAGGTTCGATTCCCAGCACCCACATAGCAGCTAATAATCATCTATAACTCCAGTTCCAGGGGATTCAATGCCCTCTTCTGACCTCTTAGGGCACTGCATGACACAGGTGCACTTAGACATATGCAGGCAATACACTCATACACATAAAATAAAATTAATAAAAAACAAATATGTCAACCTGGGGCCCTTGGGAGATGGCTCAGTGGGCAAGAGTACTTGCTAGGAAAGCAGTAGTATTTGCCTAAGGAACCCACATTAAAAACCAGGCATGGCCACAATGCCTGTAACCCTAGCATTGGGAGCTGGAGAGAGATGGATCCCAGGGACTCTCAGGCCAGCCAGTCTAGCCAAAATGCTGGGCTTCAGGGTTAGTGAGAGACCTAGTCTAAAAAATAGGAGAGTGATAGAGGGAGACATCTGACATCCTGTGGCCTCTGCATGCTTGTACATGAGTGCTTGCACCACACACACACACACACACACGCACACATATACACAAACAACGTCAACGTGGGGAAAATATGGTTGTTTTGTTTGGGGGCACTTGTTTGGTCTTTAAATTATTATTTTTTATTTTATGTGTATGAGTGTATTTCCTGCATATGAGTGCACCCGTGTTGTGCCATACCTGTGGAGGTCAGAAGAGGGGGTCAGAGTTCCCTGGAACTGGAGTTACAGACAGTTGTTAGCCACCATGTAGGTGCTGGGAATCGAACCCAGGTCTTCTGCAAGAGCAACCAGTACTCTGAACTATTGAGCCATCTCTCCAGTCCCTGGTTTTTTGTTTTGTTTTGTTTTGAGATAATCTTGCTAGGTTGCCCAGGCTGGCCCCAAATTCCTGATCCTCCTGCCTCAAATCTCCCATATACTAGGATTACAGGCATGAGCTACCACTCCTGACTAAAAACTTTGACTTAATAAAAAAAGAGATAATGAAATAGATTCTTCCAATGTTTTGACTGTTTGTATGACAACTTTGTTGTAATTTAATAAAATATTCGTATACTAATACTACTTAGGAAGTGAGACTTCCTTCCATTGTACTAGGTCTAAATTGGGGATAACAAAACTAAGGCAGAGTAGTGTTTGCTTGCAAATTACACCCCCAATTTATTTGTTTCTCTTTTTTTCTCCCAAATAGTATAGATAAAACTATTCCTTTATTTAAATTAATGGCCATTACGGTAAGCATGTGATCTCTTACAGTTCTGCTGATACATACTTCGAAATGCTTAAAATAATTTGTTAAGTTTACTTAGTTAAACCTCTGTGTTAAGTGGTTCTTAATCATTTGGGGGGAAGAATCAAATAATGTTACATAAGTCATTACTTTGCCTGTACAAAAGTGCCTATATGCAGAATTTTTCTAATATTTTAATAGTTAATGTTTCCCTTGACTCCAGATGCCTATGTCTCTTCTGAATCCAGATGCCTCTACCTAATGTTCTCCCTCTGTTTTAGTGTATACAAATGCATATATTTTAATGAACATATTGTTCTGCAAAACTATTACAGAGCTCTATGTGTTTATTTGCTTTACTTTTGTGTCTGAAATAAGTTATCTGAATTGTTTGCTATATTTACTATATAAGCTATATTTTCTTTTTCTTTTAGATTCAGAAGAGGCTCAGTCTGTAAATCCTTCTAGTATTGATGAAAATATTGACTCAGAAACAGAGAAAGATTCTCTCATCTGTGAAAGTAAACAGATACTTCCAAGTAAAGCACCTCTTCCATCTGCTCTTGATGAATATGAGTTCAAAGATGATGATGATGAAGAAATAAATAAAATGATTGATGACAGGCATATTCTTCGGAAAGAACAACGAAAAGATAATGAATCTGAAGCAGAAAAGAGTGGTTTATTTGCAAAACAGGAGAAGGCCTTTTATTCTAAATCATTTAAAAATAAAAAACAGAAGCCTTCTAGGGTTCTGTATTCAAGTACTGAAAGTTCTGATGAAGAAGTTCCTCAGAACAAAAGAATTTCTGCTGCATGCTCTGTCCCTGAAACATCAAGTTCTGATGTGCAAGCCAAAAAAGAATTTGAATACAGACAGAAAGGCAAAGTTAAAAGAAAACTAAAAAATCAAAATAAAAATAAAGAGAACCAAGAGCTGAAGCAAGAAAAAGAAGGAAAAGAAAATACCAGAATAACGAGCTTGACTGTTAATACTGCACTGGATTGTTCAGAAAAAGCCAGAGAAGAGGGGAACTTTAGGAAATCTTTTAGCCCAAAAGATGATACTTCGTTACACTTATTTCATATCTCCACTGGCAAATCTCCCAAACATTCTTGTGGATTAAGTGAAAAACAGTCAACACCTCTAAAACAAGAACATACTAAAACATGTATATCACCAGGAAGTTCCGAAATGTCATTGCAGCCTGATCTTGCTCGCTATGACAATACAGAACCTGAATTCTTACCAGAAAGTTCAAATGTAAAATCTTACAAGCATAAGGAAAAAAATAAACAGAAAGATTTCCATTTAGAATTCGGTGAAAAATCAAATGCCAAAATGAAGGATGAAGATCATAGTCCAGCATTTGAAAACTCAGACTGCACACTGAAAAAAATGGATAAAGAGGGCAAAACATTAAAAAAACATAAATTGAAACACAAGGAGAGGGATAAAGAGAAGTACAAAAAAGAAACGGACGTTGAAAAGGAAAAATACAAAAATAAGGATGGCACGAAAGAGCTACAGAGGAGTGTTGAATTTGACAGAGAGTTTTGGAAGGAAAATTTTTTTAAAAGTGACGAAGCTGAGGATCTCTTTTTAAATACAGAACATGAGTCCCTAACAGAAAAAAAATCAAAATTGGAAAAAACCATGAAAGATGATAAATCAACAAAGCATGTCTCAAAGGAAAGGTGCTTTAAAGAAGAGCGGGAAAAGATTAAAAAGGAAAATGAAAAATCTAGGGAAGAAAAGCTCAAAGATCTGAGAGAAGAGAGAGACTTTGTGTCCACAGATAAGGAAACAGAATTCAGTTCTCTGGTTATAAGTGTAAACCAGGAATCTATAGGGCTACATTCAGTGGAAAAGGAAATGGACACTGAAAAACAAGAAAAGCATATAATAAAAGACAGGGAGAAATCAGACAAACGATTTCAAACTAAGGAAAAGGAGAGTGAGAAGACTGAAAGAAAAATTTCTGAAAAAGAAAAGAAGATAAAACACGAACATAGATCAGAAAAAGAGAGATTAGATTTTAGTGACTGTGTTGACAGAATAAAAGAAAAGGACAAACTGTACTCACATCAGACAGAAAAATGTCATAAAGATAGTGAGAAGATAAAAAATACCATTAAAAAACCTGATGACAGAGAGAAAAATCGAGAAAAAATTGATAGGAAGCATGACAGAGAAAAACCTGAAAAAGAGAGGTGTTTAACAGAAAGCAAAGAGAAGCACTTGATGGACAAAAAAAATAAGCAGTCAGATAATAGTGAGTATACTAAATCAGAAAAAGTCAGAAATAAAGAAAAAGACAGGGAAGTAGATAAAAAGGAAAAACTTAGGGATAAAGAAAGTATAAATATAACTAGCTGCAGACACTTACAGGAAGAGAAAAAGTCAAATGTAGGAGACAGTAGTAGTAAAACACAGCATGAAAAAACTGTATCACTTAAAGAAAAAGCAAGGGATGAGCCTTTGAAAACTCCAGATGGGAAAGAGAAAGATAAAAAAGATATAGATAGATACAAAGAACGAGACAAACGTAAAGATAAAATCCAACTAAATACTTTACTCAAAATAAAATCTGAAGCAGATAAACCTAAACCTAAGTCATCACCAGCATCGAAAGATACTCGACCTAAAGAAAAGAGGTTAGTGAATGACGATTTAATGCAGACAAGTTTTGAACGAATGCTCAGTCTTAAAGACCTAGAAATAGAACAGTGGCACAAAAAACATAAGGAAAAAATTAAGCAGAAAGAAAAAGAACGATTAAGAAATCGTACTTGTTTAGAACTTAAAGTAAAAGAAAAAGGAAAACACATACCAACTGAATCCAAAAATAAAGAACTCACTAGGTCAAAAAGTTCTGAGTTGACTGATGTTTATACCAAGGAGAAACAATCTAAAGATGCTGGAAGTAATAGATCACAATCTGTTGACACCAAAAATGTAATGAGTTTAGGGAAGTCATCCTTTATTTCAGATAATAATTCAAACAGGTCTCCTAGATCAGAAAGTGAAAAGCCAGGTCTCAGCTCCAGATCTGTGTCAATGATTTCTGTTGCTAGCTCAGAGGATTCCTGCCATACTACAGTAACGACTCCAAGGCCTCTGGCAGAATATGACTCTGACTTTATGTTAGAGGGTTCAGAATCTCAAATGTCATTTTCTCAATCACCTTTTTTGCCAATTGCCAAATCGCCAGCTCTTCATGAAAGGGAGCTGGAGAGCCTAGCTGAACTGCCAGAACGGCTTAAACCACCGTATGTAAACAAGCTTCCAGCCTGCCATCTCAGGTCATCTTCTGTGGAAGATGTTAAACTAATTATCAATGAGGTAAGACCCACTGTAGAAATTAGAAGATGTAGCATGCCATCAGTCATTTGTGAACCCACAAAACACTTCCAAATATCAGAAGAAAGTAATCAAGGTAGCTTAGCTGTGCCAAGAGATATCTGTCCTTCTCCCAAACCTGAGGTACCTTCAACTGTGCCTGAAAGAGACCTTTCAGATATGGCTAACTTACATTCCAGCTTTACAGCCTCTCCCACTAGATCTGTAAACAGCAAGTATATTTCATCTGATACAAATGTAATCAAGAGTACTGCTCTGATGGGTACTTTAATAGACAATCCTGTGCATTTAGAACCATCTAATCCGGTTGGAGTGATCCAAAATAAATCATGGGAGATGCCTGCTGATAAACTAGAGATATTAAGTACCAGTGACTTAATCTGCACTAATTCTAGTATACCTGATCAAGATTCCTCTCTTCAGAGTTTTTGTAATTCAGAAAACAAAATATTGAGAGACCAGAATGCTGATTGCTTAACCCTACACCAGACTGAGCTTTCAGGAAACTCTAGTACTCAGGATCCAGCGTCCTTTTTGCCTTCACAGCAACTCTGCTCTTTTTCCAACCAATCATTTTCAGATACTGAATCTGCCTCTAAATCTATGTCTTCATCATATATTGCCAGTCAAGAGCCAGGAATTTTACAGCAGAGAAATGTAACTCCTATGACCAGTTCTGTTTTAGATACTGATAATATCTTTACAAAAGATGTGGAAAATACATTTGTCCTAGCAGATACTCAAAAGCCAGATGCCTGTGTTTCAGTTTACTCTGAAAGCACTATTCAAGAAGCACTCCCAAACTGTGAGAAAGCTAATACTTTGCTTATATTGCCACCGGAAAAAGATTTGAGTGGAAGTGATGTTTCCTCTCAGCTAAGTACACAATATGCATTTAGCAAACTAACTTACAAGTCTTCCAGTAGCCGTGAAATTGAGAAGAGCACAACTGATACTCAGGTTATTTCACATGAAAAAGAAAACAAACTACAAAGTTTGGTCCTAACCCAGTCAAGTAAGTGCGACTCTGATTTATATGAAATGAACGCTGCAGGGTTGCCAAAAGGAAGTCTAAATGAACAAGATAATTCAAAACATGGTTCTGAAAGTGAAAAGTGTTCACTTTCTATTGAAGATGAAGAGTCTCAGCAAAGCACTTTATCAAGTGTGGAAAACCATTCACAGTCAGCCCAACCAGAGATGCATAAATATGACCATTTAGTTAAAGTAGAATTAGAAGAAAATGCTGAAGATGATAAAATTGAAAACCAAACCCCTCAAAGAATGACTAGAAACAAAGCAAGTACAATGGTAAATCAAAGCAAACAAATTCTTGCTAGTTGTACACTGTTATCAGAAAAAGACAATGAATCCTCGCCTAGGGGAAGAATAAGACTAACTGAAGAAGATGATCCTCAGATTCACCATCCACGGAAAAGGAAAGTGTCACGTGTACCTCAGCCTGTGCAAGTGAGTCCATCTTTACTACAAGCAAAGGAGAAAACTCAGCAATCTCTAGCAGCCATTGTAGATTCTCTGAAACTAGATGAGATTCAGCCATACAGTTCTGAGAGAGCAAATCCATATTTTGAATACTTGCACATAAGGAAAAAAATTGAAGAAAAGCGCAAATTACTATGTAGTGTTATTCCTCAAGCTCCTCAGTATTATGATGAATATGTAACGTTCAATGGATCGTATCTTCTGGATGGAAACCCCTTAAGCAAGATTTGCATTCCCACTGTAAGTAAGATTGTCACTTGATAACAGCTCTGCAACACTGTCCTGGAGATGTAGCTCAATGGTAGCATGCCTGTCTTACATGTGCAAGGCCCTGGTTTCAGTCTCTAGCACAGAAGAAAAAAATAGAATGAAAGCTGTATACATAATTTTAAGTTTTCTAGTAAATATTTTAAAAAATAAGCAAGTAGATTAATTTTAATATTGTATGTAAGTCAACATATCCAAAATACTATTGCAGTGTCAATATGGAAAGCTATTTATGAGATATTTTGCTTTTTTTCCACTGAATCTTTGAAATCTGATGTGCTTGTAACACATCTCAGTTCAGCTACCCACATTTCAAAGAGTACTCAGTACCAAATGGGTTCCTTATCAGGTATCATGAATCCTGTTTGCTCCTCACCTGCATTTCCTTTTGTTTTAAAGAAGACATATTTTGATTTCTCTGAAGGTTAATGCCACTACATGTACATTTGATCTCATTCTTTGCAGTCTTTTCTGGAACCTTCCTCTGTTAAATACTATTTCCTCCCTCAGCTGGCCTTTATTTGCCCACTCAGAATATATTTGGATCACATCTTCATGAAAAGAGAAAAGCTCTCCTTTTTCTAGCTTATCAACCTCACCAGTCTTTCTCCTTCACTGACAGTCTTGTGCAGAGTTATCTGTCTGTGACATTTTTTTCCACCTCCCCTCCTGTTCATTTCTAAGCCATTAAGCCATTGTAGATTGCCACTAGGCTCATGTTTGTCATTTTTGTTGGCTTATTTTTGTTGTTCTCTTTGTTAAGATTTAGCATCATGACCACTAGACTTGGCTTTAGTGACTGCCTGCAGTGTGCACAGGGGCTATACTTGAAGTTCCCTGACTTAACAGACTGTTTTGCATCATGTCTTTGCAAATGTTATCTTTCAGTGTCCAGTTCAGAAAAGATCAAGAAAGGTGACTTTATAGTCTCAAATTCCCAGAATATTCCTGATGCTAGTACCTTTAAGCTGCTAAGAACACTTGGTATTGGGGCTGGAGAGATGGCTCAGCAGTTAAGAGCACTGACTGCTCTTGCAGAGGACTTGGGTTCAGTTCCCAGCACCCACATGGCAGCTACAAACCGTCCTTAACTCCAGTCCCAGGGGAACCCGAAGCCCTCTTCTGACCTCTGCGGCATTGCTCGACGCTGGTGCACTCACATACAGGCAGGCAATACATCCATACACATGAAATAAAAATAATAAAAAGTAAAATAGAACACTTGGTATTAACCAAAAGGTGGAGAAGCAATGCTAGTGTCTTTTAAAATCTTGGCAGATTTAGATTTTAAGTAGCAATAGTAGCAGATGAAAAGTAATGAATGGCAAATAAATTTGTCATTGATTCAGTCTTTCGGCAAAATAATTTGTTAGTGATTCAAAGAAAATCTACTAAACTTTTTGTTTCTTTCATTGTCCATTTTATTTCCCCTTAAAAGGTAAAACATTTTAACTGAAATAATACAGGCTTGAAGTACAGTTATATCTTTAAAGAACACATGTAAGTTAAAACTTTGTGCAAACTAAGTAAAAACATCTTGAAATAACCTGTTAGGTTGCCTTCTAGCTACCATACCAGACAGAGAATCAGGAGAATGTTGAAAGTGTACACTTTCACTCTCCTGCAAAGATAATATAATACGTGTGATTTCCTTGAAGCAGTACTGGAGAAGTCTCTTTGTTAAATTAGAACTTAGTTGTATTAAATGTTGCTTTAAAAGAGGCTATATAAGTAAAGCCAAGAAATTGCATGTAGTATAGAGGTTTGTTTTTGTTATTTGATTCGTCTTTAATGAGAATTACTAAAACAAAGAAATATAATGCCATTAATAGAACAAATAGAATTTTTTAAAAGTCTATACTGTACACCAGCTATGCAAACTTGAATGATTGACTTTAATTATCTGATCTTTAACTTTCACATCTACCTGCCCTACCCCAAAGCAGGTTGAAAACTATATGCCAAAACACATTAATATCTTTAAAACACTATACTGATTGTAGTAGAGTACCATTGTGGTATCTAGTTCCAGGTGTCTTTAAGGTTCATATTTATTAGAACTAGTATGCAAGCTTCAGCCTTTTACTCATAAAAAAAGTTTTGCTTTTAACTTCACTGGACTAAAATTGATTTGTTCATGGTTTGGCTTGAAAAAATAGTTAAGGTGAACATGATATCACACACGCCTATAGTCCCCAAACTTGGAGGTGGTGGAGACATATAAGGATCAGGAGTTCAAGGTCATGTTCAGGGACTGAGTAGAAGAGAGTGAAAAAGAGATGAATAATAAAGACCAGAGATAACAATCATGTTAACAGTTCGTTTCTTTCCTCCCAGCCAGTGAATTTTTCTTTTGCCAAGATTATTTTGATTTATGTGCTCTAGTTATAAAACCTATTAGAAATGTTACAGAACATCACCAAACTTGGTTTAAGTGTTTATTAGTCCTCCATTAAGTACTTTATTCATACCTTTTAACCAGAATGCTTCTGTTTTCTTAGAGGAAATCAAGAAGAAGAGAGGGGGGCCCTACAAGTTCCCCAAATCAAATTAACCAGGGGCGGGGATGCCACAATTTTGGTATCTACAGTGGCCACTGGTAGCAACACCCAGTTGTTTGCTTTCATTATAGGACTTCTCAAAAACTTTAGGTTGTCAAGACTCAGGAGAAAATACATGTGTACAAATAAAGCTTTCCTAAATTTGTTCTGGAGACCATTTCCTGGAAATTGTCTTTGTGGACACATGATCTATGGAACATACTTTAGGAAAACCTGACCTTGAAATAGACTACAGCTTCATTGCTTTGCCACTGCTGATCCCTTTGCCCTCATATGTTACAGTTCCTTTGTCCAAATTTGACATTCCAGAAACTGGCAGCTGTTTGAGTGGTCTTGAGCTCCCTCCCTCCTCTTCTCCCTC